TTTTCTGTTTTATTTTTATTTTATTTTAATTTTAGTCTATAGCACATTTAAACAAAGTGACCCAAAGTGCTTTAGGGAAAAGCACATTTTCCTTCCAGGTCTCCAAAAAATCCAGTTTCTAAATAAACAAAAGCTGAAAGGAAATTAAAGATGATGATTAAATCATGACACACTGTTCTATTGGTACAGACAATACTGACCCTGTATTTACTTGGTATCGGATTGATGCCAACTTTGTACTATTGCACAGCACTAGTCATCAGACACGCCCCCTCAAACATGTCTGGGCTTGTGTCATTGCTGTGGATGGAATTTAAATGCAAGGCTCTGTCTATATCATCAATTTCATACTATTTCATATTGTGCTCTTTTTGTATGACATGGTCTGTGGTCTAATATGTGATATCAACATATATTAGTCCACATAGGTCTGTCGTAGTTCAGTATCACCCAAGGTCTATATGAACTATCATCTGTCATCCATTATTCTTTGTTGATCCACTTAGAAAAAAAAACATGCCACTGTAACAAAACTGGTTAAAACTTCAATAAAATTTGATTTATCCAGAAGATAATGAGTACTTTTACTTTACTTACAGGCATGCTGAGGTCCTTTTACCTGAGTAAAGCATTTGAATGAGATACAGTGAGGTTTTTTTTTTTACCCAAACCACAGGTTTCCCTGTGAAGGTGTGTTTTTCCAGCAGGCCAGTTTTATATTTAGACATTATTTGCAGACAGCTAATTCTCCAGTGGACCTCTGTGATGACACCAGCTGTGGTTCCTGGATGATTTATGGAGCAACTGGGAAGCTTCTGTATTATTTTACAGAATACAAATGAGCTGGTGCCAACAATACCTGCTATTCAGTCAAAGTCCAGTAGTCAAAATTCTCCAAAACATGATCTGCTGACAAAATCTTGTGGACATTTTGAACTCAACATCACATTTTTCTGTGTTTAATTTCATTTTGCAAATCATGCAAATCCCTAATTTTAGTTAAAAGAGTTATTTTACTGCTCCATAGTCACAAACTGGATGGGTTTTTAGGGGAAACTAGAGGACACATGGCCACATGTGAGCCCCATTAACCTACAATACACATGATTATTCATCCCTTGTTTAGCAGGTGGTGCAGCCTGAGGACCGAGGCTGGAAAATCCAGTTTTCATATTTTAATGATGTTTAACTATCTAGACTGTTTTGATGAGATTTGCCTAGTTTGGTAGATATTAGCTGTAGAAATGTCTGTCTTCTGTGAAATATAATTGAATTAAATGACACTCATTTTCTGAAGCTCAAAGCGGTAAAAGAAAAAACATAAGCTGCTTTCTGTGCTTCCTTCTAAGGTATTTTATACACATTGCACTTTACTAAATACTTCAAATCATTGTAGTTTTGTAACAGCGACTGTCATCTGTACTTTTGTTGTACGTCATAACGAATATTAAAGGTGCAAAACACCGAAATTTGTTATGCAACAGCATGTTTAACCATTAGGTTTACAGTGCAGATTTCTTCTTTTTCTTCTTCTCACTCCTTTTAGGAGTCTGCACAGCAAATCATCTGCCTCCATCTCCCCCTGTCCCTACCATCCTCCTCTGTCACACCAACCCTCTGCATGTCTTCTTCACATCCATCACTCTCCTCTTTTCCTCCTGCCTGGCAGCTCTGTCTTCAACATCCTTTATCCAATATATCCACTATCCCTCCTCTGCACACGTGCAAAGTATCTCAGCCTTGTCCCTCTAACTTTGTCTCCAAACTGCTCGACCTCAGCTCGACCTCTGATTAAGTCATTTCTAATCCTGTCAGTTCTGGTCACTTCCACTGTCTGCAAACCATAAAACATACCAGCTCTCACTAGCATCTTGAAAACCTTCCCTTTCACTTTTGTTTCTTTACATCTGTCACAAATCACCCCTGTTCTTGATAATCCCAGTGTTTGATTTGGCAAAGATTTTAGGAGCACATTAGGACACTAGGAGTAGACTGGCTTGGGACCCCCACCTCCAGCAACCACTCTCCAACCTGTTGGGAAATACACAGTTTTCCTTTGCAAACAGTGTTTGCCACAATCCAAAAAACAGTTTCTGCCCAGAATGTTGACTTTAAATCACTTAATTAACTTTCTATGAAACGGTATAAAATGTTAAATGTAATGAAATCTAGTCAAATAAAGTCCACCTGATGGGTTTGCATCCAGTTCATGCCAAGCATAAGTATTTGAATAAATTAACCTTTAAATTTTTACATATTTCAGTTGCAGTTTACTCAAAATTATTGCTTTACGTTTACTGAGAGTGAAAATCTATTTTTTTTTGTGGGGGCGGGGAGTTGACAGCTTGTCTCCAGGCCTCCACGACTTTGGCTTAAAATACGACACGAATGTTTGCTCAGACTCGCGGGTGAACTGATTTAAATTTGGCAATCAAGCACTCTCAATTGCACGCACCTGTGAAATTCTTTCAAAATCCTTTACAATATTATGTATATTATGTCAGTGAGGACTTTGCAAAATGCTTGCAGGCTAATTTTTTAAGTTTAAATGCCACAAAGTTTGTTTCCAGCTACTAAATTGTGAATAATTTCTGGTTTTCTTCATCTTCTTTGAAAGTAAACTGCAGTTACAGCTCAATAGATTTCCCACACTATTCTGTTTATCACCACAATAAGTGGAATGAACAATAAGAAGACAGAAAAGGTCAGCCACCACCTTGAGCAATTCACTCCAAGGGCTTAAACCCCCCAGATTTACAGATATAGTGCTGCGTCACTGTATCTATTAGTAATGTGGAATTAAAGGCTGTGCCCAGAATACTCATGATAAAAGAAAAAGGAAACATCTGGTTTCACCCTCTGTGGTGAATCTTTACCATGAAATCTACATTTCATCATTCTGTGCTTAAACCTCTGTGCTTTGCACCAAAAGTTTCAAAAATGTGTGTAATTACATTATCTGAACCAAATGCTGTTAAAAGGTGCCGGACACACTCTTAGTGTTTAAAATCTTGAATCCCCCCTTTAACAGCCTCTCAGCGAGCTCACAGACGGTGAGAAATCAGTCAAGCCGCGCAGGCTGAATACAAAATGGGTTTTACACTTAATTCTAACTGGCACCAAATAGGTCTTAAAGAAGAGGCTTAAATCGCCGCGTCATGGTGGATGTTGGGTTATAATCACTGCTGTTAATGTCTTGCCCCAGGAGCTTCAGTTCGAGCGGCTGACTCGGGAGCTGGAGGAGGAGCGGCAGATCGTGGCTAGCCAGCTGGAGAGGTGCATGCTGGGAGCCGAGTCACCAGAAGGAGACAGTAGCAGGTAGATTTGACTAAAGTGATCACATCAAGATTTTTGCAATTAAAAACACACAGTATCTCATGACAAAAATACACATGACCACCTCTTATCGTTTAAGTTTTCCTTTCGACATTGGCTGCTTTTTCACCCTATTCAGCCCTTACTTGTATCTGACCATTTTCATTCAAATTATTTTAGTATTTCTGTGCCAAGAAAATGATTACCAAAGACCCATTAACTGACAAACGTGGTACATCTATGTGCAGTGTATCCTTGAGTTTTTCCTTGGATGTTACTCAAGGACATGCAAGGACATATTTTTTGTTGGACCCTAGTTTCTTCAGTGTAAGCATGTATAAATGGGTAAGAAGAAGAAGGATGTTAGCATTGATATATACAGTGCAGTACTGTGAAAAAGTCCTGAGCCACCCTCATTTCTCGATCTTTTGTTAGAAAAATCTTTTGTTAGAAAAGAAACACTTCTTTTGCCCTCCACTTGTCCAGTTCCCTAAATTTGATTAAGGACAAACTGCAGAGCACGCTGAGATATGCAAGTTTTCAGGAAATAGCTTTTTGTAAATCACCCAGTTTTGCATCTGTTGGTTTCTATTTTATTTCTCTCAACTTTGTTATCTTTGGCATTCTTCATAGATTCAAATAAAGAAAACAGAACAAATGATGTGATTTTGTGCAATATACAAACAAAAAAAAGGCTCGGGTATTAGGACTGGACTGAAAATGAGTGTAAAAGCAGCCAATGTCCAAAGAAACAGTGTGAAAGAACTTCAGTAAGTCTAGAATTATTGCTCAACTTTAATTTAGCATACTTACAAGGAACTCTGGCCCCTTGGAAGTATTTTTTTTTTCATTTAATTTTTGTATCTGTAGCAAAACAGCCCTAATAATGCACCTATATTTGTTGTTGTTGTTATATGGATTATAGCTGGCTGTAAATCACACCCAGCTCCAGAAAGCTCTGTCAAACCACATAATGGTGAAATCTGTCTTCATGAGGAGTGATGTTCAGCCAGCTGACAGTCACTTTGTGGTGTCACAGCCAGCATACATCACTCTGAGCACAAACAGAAACCTTGAAATCCACAAAACTGCTGAAATATTAAAGAAAACTTGACACTTTATGCATGACGTCTGTAATTTTGACCCTTAAAAGATGCTTCAAGTTGTAACATTGGTCCACAAATCATAAGACAATAAGCATTACAATATCTAGTGACCTAAACAGAGCTTTGACTTTGGTCATATTCTTAGAGGTAGTTGTATTTTTATGGGGGGTTTTCGGTGTTCATTTCAGTATAAATGATTTGTTTCCAGCTGCAGGTGTTTCCTCAGACTTCAGTCAGTCTGTGTAAAAAGTGACTTGAACTCACACAGTGTTACTTTCTTCATTGTTCTTGTGTATTGGATGCTTTTTTTTCACGAGATGGTTCCCTATCCAGTTTATCTTCTTATATCTTTCCTACCGTCTTCCTTCTTCTTCCTGGTCTGGTCGGACGTAGACTATTTGACAGTGACTCTAATTTGATTTACCGCTCTCTCTGCTCTCTCGCCTCCTCCATTTCCTCATCTGCTCTGCTGCCGAAGCTCATCCGAGAAGTCGTTTGCATGGAGATCCGCAGGTATGACTTCTTTTGTTTAACCTTTAACATTATGTAATAAATAAAAGATACAAAATGGTAATATAAAGTGTTGGCATGAAGGCTACACGAAGGCAAAAAGCTTCAGTGATGCTCAGTGGAGTTTTATTCCATGCCTGCGGTACTTTCTTTTAAATGGTAAATGCTGTAGCTTCAGATAGGATGAAGTGTATATGATTAGGCCGCTGAAAGAACTTTGTTTTTTAACACAAGAAAGCTATAATAGCCTCCAAAAGGCTGAACATTGCCAGAATGCAGCACCAAGCAAAGCAAAGCAATGTTTCTGCCAGTATATATACTGTATGTATAAAAGCTTTGAATTGGATCCATTTACTATTCTGTCACAGATCCCTTTCCTCAGATTTCCATCCCATTCTTCACTGTCATCTTTCCCCTGAAATAAAAGACGTGGTATAAAAAGAACTGATGCAGAGATGATGCTGTTGATTTGCCACACCTGTGTTTTTCAATGCGTGTGAATCTATGTGTGTGAAGTACGTGCATTAATGCTACAGTCTTTGCATGTTTTTAATCGTACAACAGGCGGAGAGTCTCAGGGCGGAGCCACAGAGGGGTCTGGATGTCCTGGTCGTCACCTGGAAGCAGAGGAGGGACTCTTCCTGCCGGAGCCGGACCGAGCATCCCTACATGGCAGTGAGGGTCTGTTAAATATACTCAGCACACGGTTTAAACGAAGCTTTAGGAAGGGACTAAAGTTGCTGAGTGCAGATTCTGGAAAACACCAGCATTTTTAGTTTAGTCTGCAGCCATGCAGCAAAATAAGTACACCCTCTTGTAATCTTACATACTGGGACAAAGCAAAATCTTCTGGTCCTAAAATGATTTATATTAACAACATCACCCCTTGATTCAATAGCTTATCGAACCGCCTTTAGCAGAAGTAACTTGAATATATCTCTCATATTCTTGAGGAGGAATTTTTGTCCAAATTCGGTCATCGCAACATCTTCGTTCTTTTCTCTTTCAATCATTCTGTTGTAGATTTGCTGATATGCTTGGGGTCATTGTGCTGTTGCATGACCCAGTTTAAGCCGAGCTTTAGCTGTTGGACAGATGGCCTCTAGAATACTTCTAGTCTGCTCTGTCACTGCGGGATACACTTTCCTGTGGCTGCAAAACAATGGGATTTCATCCAGCATGCAATATCATCTGAAAAGGATCTGATGGGTACCATCTTTATTTTTGGATGTTGATGAGCCCAAACACACTGCCAATGCATTAACACAAAATGCAACACTATCAGTCATGGATTGGCCTCCCAGAGCCTGGACCTCAACATTATTGAAGCAGTGTGGGATCATGTGGACAGAGAACAGAACAAAACATCCAAAGAAGAGCTTTGAATGTCCTTCAAGAAGCCTGGAGAACTATTCCTGAAGACTACTTGAAGAAATGACAAGAAATGAGGGGTGGCTCAAGGCTTTTTTACAGTACTAAGTTTTAAGGAATGTCTCTACCATACAAGCATGTAGCATCCTTCAGCTTCACAGTCAGATCCACCCCGCTCTCATCAAGTCTAAACACCAGATGCTGAGGGAGCCAAAGCTCAGCCCGAGGCTTCACAGCAGCATTTTACCAACCAGTGAATATAAGTCCACAATTCTGAACCCACACTGGACAATCTGATCACATTTAAGAAATGCCAAAGGCCCCACACTGTTTCAGATGAGTCTAAAATACCCAGAACCTGATATCCGCCTCCGCTCTGCTGTCTGAGTTTTATTTTTTATAGTCTGCCATGTTTGGCGGAAATGTTTCCCACGTATTCACTCGTGGGAGCTTTGCATTACAGCCACAGCCTGCCTAATGTCCAACAGCGGTTGGACATTAGGCATCTTCACTGGAGTGTTTGACACTTTGGTCCATCAAGCTACCTCAGAAGCTTGTGTTAAACCACAAAAAAGTTGGACGGCCAGCAAAGCAAAGCAGTGGGTGCAGCTGTGAATTCTTATATGTGCAGAACACTTGCTGGTTTTATGCATGTTTTTAAAGCACGACGCAGAAAAAGACTCGGCCTCCTTCTCCCTCCACATTTATTATCGGTACCATTAGTAAATATGTAACATCTGAGTAGCGATTTGTAATGTTTAAAACAAACTTGCCTTTGGTCTTATTTATATTGCATACAGCTGGAGTGCACTGGAAGTGTAAAAATATCACCCACGCTTCCTCCTCCTGGTGCTACAGGAGAAAGTAGGCCAGCAGATTGTTCCTGGAACGGCTTAATGCAGATGTCCGTGTGTATGTATTTATACGCATAATATCTTTTTAACAAGTTGAAAGCCGAGTGAGATAATATGCACATCAGTAAACCGCAGTGACTGATGTCGGGGTGGCTGTGGTTTGATCACACCACGTTCTGCTTTAATGTGTCACAAGAAGCACTGAGGCCTCTTATTGTGCTTTCCTTCCAGGCTCAGGAGGTCACTCGGTCCAGATGACCTCGTATTCTGACAGCGGCTACCAGGACAGCAGCGTCAGTTACTACAGCAACCAGAACGTAGTGCGTTCGGAGCCCCGAGCATCAATATCCAGAAGCCCAAGAGCAGAGGGTCAAGCTTCTGGGCAGGTAGGCCTGATCTCCAAAGGGTTACATCACAAGTCACTAACCTTAGAAAGAAAAGCTCAGGGTAAGATTTTACCTCTGTGTCCACTTAGCTTTTCAGCCACATTTAGTAAGATTAAGAGCACAAAGGTGAAAACCACAAATACAAATGTGTAAAAATGTCTTAAACCAATATTTTAGATCCATCCCTTACTGTGGAGAACATAAATGGGAGTGCTTGGCCAGTTCATAAAGGGTACTACCAGAGTCAGCCCTGTATGATTACAAAATGTGTGTGCCACCTTTACAGGCTATGTGACACATTAACGAGCTACTTTCAACCACAACCATGAATCGGTATGCATAGTCACAGCTATGATTTTTACACTCATAGAGAAATGTAGCCACAGTTATAAAAGTGCAAAAATATCTATGTTAGATCACAGATGCAAAGCAGGAGAGACATTTTCTCTCGGTGCAGTAGTGTACCCATGAACTCAGCACAAACTACAACAATGTGTTGAGCTCACAATGTCCTCAACACATTTTCATTTGTTTTCCAGTTTTCCAGTGGGCTCATGCCTCAAAACTAGCTGCAAAGCTGATGAATGACCTCCAAAAGCTGCTAAGAGATAGCATTTTAGCTTATAAAGTAACTACTTTCATACTAGAAAAGGTCAAGCCTGCCTTTCACGGGGGCGGTTGTTTCAAAAATTATATAAAATCAGTCAAAAGAAATTTGATTGTAAAATCTCACACATCTGTCTTTGTTAGCCAAATAACAAATGACAGACCTAGCAACTGTACCAGGGCTCTGCAAATACTAAACTTTCTGTATAAATGATTGGTGTATTTGAGGTTCAGAGATTATTAGAAAGCTTGGACATAAAGGCAGTTTCAGTCAGTTTTTGATCTTTGGAATGAATGAAAGCTCTAATTAACTTTGAACCACAGCTCCTGCCAACCAGGAGGAGATGTTGGTACTAAAGCAAATTAGCCACAACCAGTGTTGGCAACTCCTCAGTAAGGAAAATTGCTATTGGCTGTCCTAAAAGTCGCTAGAAGTCGC